ATAAAGGCCCAAAACATGATCAATGTTTAAAGTGGTGCATGAGTAAATAATAAACATGGGAGATGCGTTTTAATGCTTCAAAATATTATGTTTCATGCTGAACAAATATAATATGATATGTGAATGATTCATAGATACTTTCAATGGATTTAAAATGAAGAAAAGTAAAGAAAAACTTCCTTATCATGGTGAAACTTTTTATTAACGATGTCAGTTAGAGGGAGCTCCGTGACTCCTCTCATGTTGCAAGTCATCGTTGGCAGATGATTATTAGGGCCACACGGTGAGGTTGAAGTTACTGACAATCCGCTAGACCTGCACACATAAAAAGACAAGCGTGAAGCTTACGGAAAACACAGGGGTAATGTTTGTCGTAGGCACTCCGACGCTCAAGTCAGCAAGACTGAAAGAGACAATTTAATGAGAATTAGGGAAAGAAAGATTACCAGGAGTCTTGTCGAAGGCCAAAACCATGACGAAGGTGTAGAATTCTCGGGAGCAAGAATTTAGGAGTAAGGAGGTGATTTTGAGTAGTCGATATTGAATATTCAATCATGGATCCCTTATGAGAGGGCAGACCCCTGTTTATGTAGTAGTCATAGGATCTTCGAATCCAAGTAGGACTCTAAGTCCATAATGATAAAAGTTTAGTAAATAGGAAAGTCTTTGATTTACTAGCCTTTTGGAATAATAAGAGTCCTAATTGATATAAGATTCAAGATCTTAAATGAATTAAGATATAGATGGATCTCCTAGGAGAATTAGGATAGTGGTGAAATAAGAAGCGAATGTCTTTAGGGTTTGAATAGAACACTGGAACCTTAATAGGTAATATGGGCTAATAGGCCTACCTGGGATTGGGTCATGGTCTTGAGCCATGTTGTAAATGTTACGAACTTGGGTCTGATAAGGCCCAAGACAATTTGTAAAACCCCCCTCCAGTCAGGTATCCTCTGAATATCCCCCAATGAGACTCCCGAGGATACATGTCTGGAAAACGAGTTGTATTTAGAAAAAACTTGTGTAAGGATAATAATAATAATATCCAAAACATTCATATAAGATGTCACGCAGGATCCAAACTTATAATTTCAAAAACTTTAAGAATTTATCCAAAAATTACACAATCAAAACATATTTATAAAGTGGAAGCTTCCAAAGGTGTTTCACAAACATTTATCATTTACATTATTTACATCAAGATGACAATAAATCATCTCCCCTCACGTGTAGCCCCGCTGTCTCTAGCATCCTTCACTTCTGGTCTACCTGCAAAGCAATCAACAATGAAAGAGTGAGCGCTAATCGCTCAGTAAGGAATGATCTATTTCATTCTAAATGTGTTATTTGACCTTCATTTAAAAATATTTGTTAACACACCTCTTATCTTTTACATCTAGGTATACTTCTTTTTTTTTTTTTTTTTTTTTTTTCTAAATCATCTTGGTTTTCATCATTTTATCCCATGACTATATAAACATCAATGCATACACATACAAATAAGTATGTAAACATAGTACACAAACATTACATGTCATGATATAACTTTTAAATATCATCCAATATGAGTATAAATCATCTCATGATGTAAAAACATCATAACTCATGTAATGCAACTAAATGCATATGAAGCATTTACAATTTAGCCGATCAAATTTTCTTAGTGTCTTAAGCACTTCATATCATCTAGCTTCAAATTCATCTAAAGCATATCATCGGAGGCGTGCTTACGCGGTATTTAGCATCTAAAGCATATATCATCTTTCCTCAACCGGTATACAAGGATTGCTTACGTGTTTTCCCATGTTATATGCATCTCTAACATCTTATGGCATGTAAATACATATTAGTGAGCTTAATACTTTAATTCATTTAGGATTATCAATTCATTGACATACCTCTTGCTCACATTCAGCATCTTAAAACATGTATTACATTGCATCTTCAACCATTTTATAACATTAATCATGCATTGACATCATGACCATGATATCTTTCAAAGATCATCTAACTAATGGGTAAACATTAGTACATGACTTAATCACATCAATATAAATCAATTCATACATAAGAATTAATTATGTTAAATCTTAAACTTTAAAACTAGAAGCTTATACTTTAGGCCATTTTCCATCCATTCCTAAACGAATTGGCTCTTGGCCTAAACATAAAAGTTGTAGGGTATGTCTAAATTTCTATTGTTTCAAGAATCATCTCATTTCAATTTTTATAACTCAAGTTATGGTCAAAATATGAAGCGTGTTAACATAACCCCTAACTTACAAATCCAAATTTTTCATATTAAACTATGCACATCAATTCCTGTTGACAATTAACCAATGGTCAACTTATGGATCAAAAAATCTCCCTTAATAGTCTTTAACATCTTAAAGGAAGTGTAAAATCTCATTCCCATAATCATCCATTATTGTTATATATTGTAAGCTAATGCAAACAACACATAACACTTCTAATAGCAAACATTCAACACCATGTGGCCTCCAATACTATAAGTTTTGCCATAATCGATATCCACACTCATTTTCTTCAATCAAACAATAACAACTCATAAAACATAAATAGCAATAACTTCATGTATAATGAATTCAAGGCAATAAATAGAATAAATGAGTTCAACTACAGTTGTCATCAACTAATTCTATGCCTTAAAACCTTATTTAAGGTTTCATTAAAATCTACAAACCCTAGTATAATCCCTAAAGTCATGGGAGGTTCTTCCTTACCTTTTAAAGAATTCCTCCACACAAACTTTTGCCTTTATCTTCTTTCACACCTTAATCCTACATATATAACATTATACCTCAACATCTACTTCAAATCTTCAAATCACATCAAAACTAGGGTTTTTAATCCTTACCTTAAACCTTTCAACTTGAAGATCCAAGGTTCCTATCTTGTTCTCCTTGAAAAATTATGCAAAACTCTTTTAAAACTTAAAGAAAGAAAGCTTGTTTCATGGAAGATTTGAGAGAAAATGGAAGAAAGGTTGAAGAAATGCGATCTCCCTTGGCTTGAACGAATTTTCTCTTATTTATAAGAAAATATTTCATTAATTTTCCAAAATTATACTATTGGCCCAATTATTTTAATTGTATAACTCATAAGTTCTTAATTCTTCATATAAGATCATTTTGGTCATTTCGCACTAAACATAGTTATTACTTATTTAATGTCATTAAATGCAATTAAGCCTACTCATCCTTGACTTTTTCAATGCTTATCCATAGGCAAAATGACTATTTTGCCCCTAATACTTTTCTATGGATAATTGATTCATATCGTTCCAAATGAATTGACTATTTTACCCTTAGTTAGATTTTATGTATTTTAACATAAAATTAACATCTAAATGACTATTTTGAGTTAGGAATATACCTTTGACATCTTGGGTATTACACAATTTTTTGCCCATACATGACCCTCAATAAAAACATAAGTTAAATAATATGGTAAAATATATATTATATTAAATGAGTAATACAAATATTTCATTCATATTAAGATTTAAGTACAGCATATATTCATTATTATCATGGCACGGTATTTCTTTGGACTGATTGGGATTTTTCTTAGAGTGACTGATAATTTTCCACCTAAAGTTTGCCATAGCTATTACCACCCATAAACTTTGAAAAAAGCATTTTCCCACCCATCATTACATTCCGACATTAGTTTTTACAGCAAAAGGGCATTCTTATCAGTTCACAGAATATATATTATAGGGTTAACGTTACTTACACCCCTAAATTACAAACAAATAAAATTTCCTTCGCCAACTTAAAAATTAGTTATTTAAACTCTTATCTTCAATTTCTATAATTACAATGAAGATTTCACTTTTCAAATATGTGTTTCTAAAATTATTATATGTCAACTAAATATTTATAAAACTACAAAACAACATTTCATTAAAATTGTATATATTTTATGAAATTATATAAAAAATAATTAAAAAACTAAAAAAAATGTAAAAAAAGAAGAAAAATTGAAGATAAAAAATTATGAAAATTTGAAAAATAAAAAAATAAAAAAATGGAAAAAAAATAGTTGGTCACTATTGCACCTGGAGACTCCAGCCAACTATTTTTTTTTTCAATTTTAAAATTTTTTTAAATTTTTTTAAATTTTTTTTTTTTATGATTTATGATTTTTTTATTTTAATAACTGATTTTATTTTTAAATATTTAAAAATTAAAAAATGTATAGAAAAATCAAATTAAAATATTTGAAAAAAGAAAAAGCTAACAACTCTGGCAACGAAGCCGATGCTATTGGCCTCGATGGCATGGTTAGATCAAGGCCAAATTGGCCTTGATCAGGGCAAGCATGGTTGGATCAAGGCCATGTCGACCTTGATCTGGCCAAGCATTGCCGGATCAAGGTTGCGTTATCATTGTTCTAAGTTGGCCACGTCAGTCGTAAAAGGCACGATCTGGTCCGTTGTGGCCAAATCGGAGCCACTCCAAGCCCAATGACCTGGTGTGGCATCAATCTGGCCATTGTCCAACTAGAACAAGGCTTGCAATGTCTGTCAGGCTTCTTTTTTAAGTTTTTTAAAAATACTTTTTAAATTTATTAACCCTAAAATTAATATAAACCAAACTAGGGGTGAAAAATACATTTAATAAAGTTTGGGTGGAAAAATGTTATTCATCCTCATAAAAAATTATAAAGCCAAATAGTAAAGGGTATTAGTCTTTTTGTAGCTTTTCTCAAAGTTTATGGATGGAAAAATAATTCTGGCAAACCTTGGGTGGGAAATTGTTATTCACTCTTTTTCTTATTATCTATTGTGTCTAAATCTTTTTGTCGAATTGAATCCAATCAAAATTTCTACCGGAATGAAACTGTGAATTAGTTACACGCGTCATCTTTATTTTACACCCTAATTTCCACACAAAAAAAAAAAAAAAAAGGGAAATTTGGAAACCCAACGGTCTAAAAAAACAGTCTGAGAAGATCCTTGGTCTTCCTCTTGTCCCCTTTTGCGCGGCGCCTCCCATCTGTTTGATTTCTCCAAAGAATCAAACCATATAAACATAGCATTTCTAATCTTCACTTCCTCTCTCTTCTTGTTTCTTCACAAACCCATTTCCATTTTTCCTTTATTTGGATTCTTTAAAGAGGTGCCCATTTGTCTTTCCCTCTCATGTTTTCTTTTCAACTTAATTTTGTTCGTGGATTGTAGTTTGAACCATTTTTCTTTGGTCTGTGTTCTTACATTTGCAATGTGGTGGATTTATTATTGATATTCTTATTTACTGTATCTTAATGTGTTTCATTTGTGATTTTCTTAGTTCTGGGTTCATATTGTTGAATTACATGTTTTAATTGCTAATTTATAGTTTCTTTATATTTAATGTAGCGATAATTCAGTTTATTATAGATGATTAATCTCTGGGTACCTCAACATGGTTACTTTTTTTAAGGAAAAATTGGTGTTTACATCATTAACATGTTCTAGAATTTAATCATATATGGCAAAAGTGATTGCAAAGATACAATTTTTTCTAATTGAGATTGTTTATTGCTTGTTCGCAGGTGTCATTGTGGATAATTGGTTGAGGATCCAGCCATTTTGGTTTTTGGACATTTAATTAAACAATTTTGTAGTTGATTTTCAAAATGTTAGGTTTTTTGTGGTCTTCTTCGAAGCCAAAGCCAGTAGACCCACAACCGTCTTCAAAGCCTACTTATACTTCGGATGATGAATGTAAGAAGCAAAGTTTAAAGACGGCAAGGCGAACTGCTTCTGAACCTGTACTCATTACTCCAGACTTCAGTGATAATCCATCGTCCGGGTACTCTTCATCAGGATCAAGAGACAAGTACAAGAATGATTTCCGCGACTCAGGAGGACTTCAGAGTCAAAGTGTGCAACAACTTGAGAATTATGCTGTGTATAAGGCCGAGGAAACAACTAATACTACTAAGAACTGCCTAAGGATTGCTGAGGACATCAGAGGGGATGCTACGAAGACACTTGAAATGTTGCATCATCAGGGTGACCAAATTCATAGGACACACGAGATGGCTGCTGCGACTGATAAAGATTTGAGTAAGGTAAGATCATTAGCCTTTTTTTTTTTAATGAATATCTTTCACTCAAAAAGGATGAGTCAAATTGAGAACAGTTAATCGTTAAGGTTTACTAGGAAACTGTGAAATGATGACTAATATAACAAAACAACAAATCCCTTTTAAACCTTCAAATAAAAATTGGATCAATATAGGCATATATCCAAAATTAGATTGCTATTGTTAATTTTTCTTGGATCACACATGGTGGTGCAATGGATAGTCATAAAGCGATTTTTTTTTTTTCTCAATTTCTTTTTGTCTTTGCATTCATAGCCAGTGTTTGGTGTTCTTGTGATTGTTTCCTTGATTCCTTCAAGTGGCTTTTGTTGTCGATGGAATTTTTTTTTTCTTAATCTTATAATGTCAATTTCAGGGTGAGAAACTCTTAAATGATCTTGGTGGCATGTTCTCGAAAACGTGGAAGCCAAAGAAGACTCGAGATATTACAGGGCCTTTAACCACGCCAGGTCTGCTAACATTATTGGCTTCTTTCACTTTCCTCATGAATTTATTCGAATATATTCTATTTGGTAACTTCTTGGCTTGGCAGATCAACCATCCAAAAGAAGTGAAAACTACTTGGAGCAGAGGGACAAATTGGGTATACCTCCTGCAGCGGGGGGACGCACAGCTAGTAGGACACCTTCTGAACCAACAAATGCCATGAAGAAAGTAGAGGTTTGTATCTGCATATGTTGATTATTTGTATACAACTTTAGCAGTATTATTGCTGGACTTGTAACTATTGTTTTGCAAAAACAGTTGGAGAAGGAGAAACAAGATGATGCCCTTTCAGATTTAAGTAACATCTTGGGTGATTTGAAGGGCATGGCAGCTGATATGGGAAGCGAACTTGACAGGTTAGTTGTGTTGTTCCTGGCTTATGAAATTTCTAATAAACTTTTATGTGTACACAATTTTATGAATTTCATTGAATACTTCTTCTGGAACCATGTTAAGATTTCATGTTGGTTTTTCTTACCACAAGCCTTGTTCTTGGAAGAAGTCACTTGTTTGTTTGCTTCAATCTTACAAATACACAATGTTCTAATAATTTGGCAAATCTAGGCAAAACAAGTCTCTTGATCATCTCTCTGACGACGTGGATGAGCTCAACTCTCGAGTTAAAGATGCAAACCAGCGTACACGCCGTCTGCTTGGAAAGTGAATGACTATAAACCTTCTCAGAAATTTCTTTAGCCACTGTCAGTCTTTTCTACATTTTCATTCTGATGTGCAACAACAACATTCTTTTTACAATTTTCTTTATATTTTTTTATTTTTTTGGAATATGTCCTTGGTATATGATGTATGTATTATTTTACACTTCAAACTTTTAGTTAATAAAACTGATCATTCTTTCCAGGAGCAAACATTGCTTTACTTTTGCTTTAGATGACCAATTTGATAATTCAATCTATACGGGAGATCAAAATAAAGGGATGAGAAATTATAAAAATGATAAGATCAAATGTTTTATATCCAGAAATAAGCGAACATGACAGGCTCAAATGAACAATAAAAATAATTTACTAGAGGAGAATACTCGACAGTTAAACTAGAATTTGTTTCCAATATTTACACTACAAGAGAAAGCTCTGTACTTGACAATGCTCGGCTTAAATTTAATAGGAAAAAATTGAAATTTAATTTTAGAATTTATGAGAATGGATTTTATATATTGCTTTCCGAAATGATATTGCCTGATGACTTTAAATTTGTAAAACTAATAAATAGATTTCATAACTGGCAACAGGACCCCGAGTTTTAGTAGCGGAGTCGGTAACCCAATTCATTTCCTGCCAGGTCATGCAAGGTTCAATGACCCTCGAATCCTTTAGTCTTTGTTATACAAAAATTTGCCTATATAATTTGCACAAATAACAGTATTTCGAGGGAACATTTTGGTTATCTGTCATTAATTAAACCTTCAGACCGGGAATTTCACCATATTAATGCTAAGGCCAGACCCAGATACTTCAGGCAGAAAAAAATTTGAGGACACAAAATATCTTGCTCGTTACAACTAGTAGGTTCGGAAGATTAAGAAAACTGATAATTCCTAGACACGCAGAACACAGAAAGATATTAGATTTCAGAAAATCAATACTTCCGAGGCTTTGCCTATATATCAATAATCACATTTAGCATCGTTAGAATTCCATCAAAATCAATGCGAATCATAGAAGATTGGGACTTGTTAGCCACCAAAACAAGATATAAAAGTAACATAAGATCATGTATACAAGTACTTTTAAGCTTGTACAGTAACATCTTAATTTGACAAACAGGCAAAGTTATGCTTCAAAGCTGTCCTCCTTCCAACTAAATGAAAAGAGTCATTCAATAATCTTATTTTACAATAGATGGGAAATTGCGTATCTACAAAATGTTATTCACAAGCATTATGGCCATACCATTTTATTCCATCTTCTTATCCAGTCCAGACTGTGGGAAACCATTGGCTGACAACTTCATACCTCACTGGACCAGGTCTTGAAAATTGGATCAATGAGAATATTTGCAATTTCCAACAATCAATATGCTTCAATGTAACATACTTCATGTATCATCACTCTTCACAGGAGTCCAGTTTCTTCCAGAAGCAGCTACTTTCCTACTGTGTGAAACAAAACCAAGAACATAGCCCACAAAAGTCCCAAGTACCAAGACACTTGCTACCTTGACGTACCATGAAAAGGTAGAGTCAACCACCTGACTCTTGGCTTCTGTACTACCAATGCCACCATCACTACTATCACCATCGCCATTGAGGACCTGCCCAGATGCCAGGATCTCAAACGTATCATGTACCTCCCCATCATGGTTCCCTACATAGGAAAAGGTAAGCTTCTCCTTTGTAGCAACCAACCTAGTGTACCCAAATTCACCCCCCCGGTACAAAGACCGATAAGGTTGTGGGAAGACTGGGTCATCTGGATGGTCAGCTCTAGGTTCCCATATAGGTTGCCAGTCTTGTCCTGCCATCCCAATCACGATGTGAACCGGAAATGCCTGTCCTTCCTCCCCATTCAGGCCCATGCTCCCACAGGTGAAGTTATTCAGTGGACAAAACCTCTCATATCTGTGGACATGACCCCACAATGCAATACTCACATTATATTTCACAAACAAAGGTTCCAAGTGCTCAAGCATTTTCTCCCTCATCAGCGTATCTCTAACTTCATTGCTTGTAGTGTACATTGGCCTGTGCCCTTGGACAACCACAAACGGGGTCTTTTTCCTATCAACTGACGCTAAATCATGCTTTATAAAATTATATTGGTTGCTTCCCTTAAGAAAATTGGTCTCAGTTGAAAAGTAGACAAAATGTACCACCCCAACATTCATTGAATAGTAAAGGTTTCGAGTTGCCGGAGCATGGCTTCCAGTTGGTTCTGAAGAGTTCCCAGGCATGTGAAACTTAAGGCTGTAGGGTACTCCACATTCACCACCACCATCAGTTCCATAAATCCATTGTGACCAATCAGGTTTCCAAGGCTGTGAAGGCCAATCATACTCATGATTACCGATGCAAACATGGTATGCTACTCTGGATGCAACTGGTTCAATTTGTGTGAAAAAGTGGTCCCACAACCAAGAGTAACCTCTTGCATAGCTGATATCTCCAATATGTGAAACAAAAGCGGGCTTGTCACCAAGAGCTTTAATGTCACGAAGGATCCACTTCATTGTGGATATGCTTTCATCTTGTGTACGGACAAATGTTGTGTAAGGTGTTGCAGTTCCCATATCTCCAAATAAAAAAGCTATTGTTTCATTTGAATCTTCGTTCCGAGACACAAAGCTGTAAGTCTCACTCCAACCTTTAGAGTCACTTCCAACCTGTCATAAACAGCATAGATATTCCTACTCAAATGATAGGCTAAGGAGGTAAACACAGTTACCGACCACAATTTTGGCTACAACGAACAAGGGGCACAACACCAATGCCAAAAAAGGATATTTATTTTTCTCCTCAGATGCATATACTCTTACACCGATGAACCATATAAATAGCAACTGAGATCATAACTACCGTAAGAGCTTCAATTAACTCTGATCTAAAAGGTGGAGAAATGTTTAAACTAATCGAGCATATTCATTAATAGTTAAAATTAATAGGGAAACGACATAATTCAACAACTAAGCTATAATTTTTTTCCACAATTATCCATCTTAACCAACTAAAAGAAGAAATTGATTACACAACAATCTATGAAATGACAAGAAATTTAAACTAATCAAATTAAAGCCAAGATCAATTACCTGATAATATACTTACACCTTTCTTGAGACCCTTCATGACTGCATCAAAATCCACCCGGATCTCTCCATCCTCGCTCCGATTGGCAGGGGCATGACACAAATGATCTACCTCATACCTCTCCACACGTGCCACAGCCACGTCACTCATTCCTTCTCTCTTTCCCGTACCTCACACACCTCTTCTCCCCATCTCCCGCCACAAACATCACCCTCACTCACTCTCCTCATCCGTATACGCCAAATGCACCTGCTCCGGCCCACGGCCCAATGCAAACCCGAGCTGTTCCGATTGGGCCAAAAATGGCCGTACCAGGTATGGGATTGTGGTCGTGATCGTGTTTTTTGGGATTGATTTGGACTCGGTCCAGCGGAAGATCCGGAAGGTGTAGTTGGAGCGGAGATTGGTTAAGGGCAAAGAAATGGAGCCCCATCCTTGGCCCATGAGGGTGAGGTTGAGAGGAACTTGTAGCCGTAAAATTTTGCTCATGTGAGTCGGGTGGTGATAGATGCCGAGCCATCAAGTTTGGAAGTGAAGGAACGTTGTACCATTTGATCAAAACGGTGTCGCCTGATTTTGTTTAAGATTTGGGGAAAATGGTAGAGTGAGGGTGGAGGAGGAGGCGGGTTTGGTGAGAAGAGGAGAACAAAGAGCGATCATGGTGGATAGCGGAGGAAATGGGCGAGATGGTTGGTGAAGGAGATGTTATACAATTAAAACAAGGACAAAGATGTAATTTACAGATATTGAGGGTATTCGGATTAAGCTATTTAATGTTTATAAAGAAAGGATCAACCAACCAAAATGACCAGTTCTCTCGTTTGGTGTATTTACGTTAAAGCTTCTTTTCGCTTATGTGTTTTTTTTTTTAAATACACGCAAACTGAAAATAGTTATAAGAATAAGATTAATTGCGTAAAAGTATATTAGACAGCCATTTTTTTTTACCCTCCATCATAATTATTGATGTTTCTCTAGAGAGAATTATCGTAAAAAAAAAAAAAAAAAAAAACACCATTCTAATATATACCCTGTAGAAATCCAAATTCAATTAAATCCTAACCTAATTCCATTTCAATTCTCAATCGCTACATACTCTTTTCATTGCAAGGTCGAGACTCCAATGATTGAGATTTTCCGTCGAATCCGCCCACGACAAACTCCAACGACACTAATGACTGAGATACTTCCATTTTTGCATCTCCTTCTTCTCTCCCCGATTCTCAAACTGTACATTGTAAACCCATTCTATTCCAATATTCATATAAAATTGATAATACAATCATTTCAATATAAATCTCCATGATATATGCGGAAATAAATGACAAACCTCCAGCCATAGCAATTGTTGTTTGATCTTCTTGCTCCTTCTGAAATTCACAGGATCTTCCACTGACTGCAATTTTAGAGTGATGGTTTTGAAACTAAAATAAAACTTGCGTCACTGGGGACCTGTAAGTCTCTTTCTTATATGCAGTTGTCTTTCCATCAAAGACAACTGCTCAAGAGACACACCGTATGTACATCAGTCCACATCAGTAAGGACCAAATATAATTATATGAGAAGTGTAGCCATATTGCAAAAAGTCTAACATTCTCCCATTTGTTCCAAACTTGGATATATAATCAGAACACAAGAGATGTATATGTGTATGTGCAATTAGAAAAGGGAAATTACATGAATCATAGCGGTAAGTCCCTTTAAACAAGTATTACCTTCCAGTATTACAATGCAATTTTTCTCTTTCTAAATAAACGCTAAATGTGGAATATCACTTTAGGAACAAACCTCAAATGTTTGTTCTAGGTCCTCTAGAATGTTTGTTTGTCTCCAACCAAAATGTATACAACTTAAAAGAGAAAATAAACTAAATTACAAAGTTTTAGACAATGAAGTATTA